ACACACACACACACACACACACACACACACACACACACACACACACACACATACACACACCTACACAACACATAGGAGTTTGAATATATAACACACTAAGTTCACACGATGTACTGTGTCTTCAATCTCTCAAACAGAGGTTTTATCTTGGGGGTCACACGATGTACTGTGTCTTCAATCTCTCAAACAGAGGTTTTATCTTGGGATCGTCCACCGACACCACCACCTCATCACGTGTCGTGACGTCACATCCTGGGGGCGTGTCCTCCACAGCTTCCGGTATGCGCATGTCAAAGTCGGACTCCTTGAGGCTGTGCAGCCAGTTGAAGACCTTGAGGTTCCGGTGTGCGCGGTCAAGGAACTGACCCCTGTCCCACATGACCAGGTCCTTCTCCCGGATCTCGTGGTAGCGCGGCCGCCCCATACGAACGTGGATGTCTGTTCGAATCACGTTGCTGAGGTGGGGGGAGATTCGCAGCCGCTGAGGTATCTTGGCCACGTGACTGTAGTCTTCCTCCACCAGGCCGGGGTACTCCTCGAGCGGCCCCACGTAGGTGCGTGCCTCGTTGTCGTCGCCGTAGCCAGTGGCTCTCTCCAGGGCTGTGGTGGTGGACATGATCCTAGACTTGACCTTGGCCGTGAGCCCTCGCTTGAGGTCAATAGCCAGGATCTGTGAGTCGCCCTTCCACACGGACACAGGGTCATCTTGGTGCAGCTCCGACTCCAGGTCCAGGGGCGAAAGGTTGCGCGGGGTGTTGGAGGGCCAGGGCTCGTTACTCCCTGAGGAGGTGAGCGACTGGCGTGAGAGGCTGCGCGTGCCGAGTGAGCGGCGGCTGGAGAGACGAGCGGCGCGCTGAGAGCTGTGGTTCTGTTGCTGCATGGCCGCGATCCTCTGGTTCACAATCTGGCGTCTCATCTCCAGGAAGTTGATCATGGGTCCGTCGTGGTGACCCCCAGCCGACTGGGCACGGGTCAGCTTCTTCTTCCTGCCCGCCATCTTCTTGTGGACGTTGGAGGCGCTGTCGCTCCGCTGTCTAGCCGGGCCTAACTGGACACCCCTGGAGTGTCCGGCACGAGTGACCATCTGTCTCTCCTCCTCCGGCAGCCGCTTGAAGATCTCCGTCTCGGTGTCCATCTGCGCGTACATGGCGTGCATCTGCAACATCCGGTCAATGGAGGTCTTGGGTTTACTGGCCAGCTGTACCCACACGCTCGTCCCGTCCTCCAATCTGTCCACCTCACCTCCCCCCGGAGTCGTCAGCCTCTTCCTCCGTCTGCGCCTGCGCGGGGCAAGCCTCACGTGACTTCCGTGGCTGGAGCAGCTGAAGAGAGAGATGAGCGTGTTTACCGACTCGGTGCTGTCCGCCCGCTTGATCTTCATCTGATCCCCGAGTCTGGCGCTAAACACTGGCTGTCGGGGCGGGTGGGGCTGCGGGGGGAGGGAGCGCATCCTGTAGGCGGGCATCCACGCCTTGAGGGACCTCGAAAGACGACCCTCCCCCGACCCCCGCGGCGTGACGTCACCGGTCACGTGGTCCCCAGCCACCTGGTCGTCGTGGAGGAAGAAGTCAGCCACGCCCTGCATCAGCTCGGGAGACAAGTCGTCACTGAGGCGAGAGGAGAAGGTGGAGGGGGGGCGGGGGGCGGTGGCGGACCCGTGCCGAGACGTGCTGGGCCTTGACCTGTTGACCTCTCCACGTGACCTTGAGGTGCCGGGTCGTGACCCACTGACCTCGCCGCGTGACCTGGCGGTGCCCGGCCTTGACCTCTTGACCTCTGCGCGGGCGGAGGAGCCCCTTGATGCGGCCTCATGGTCCAGTGTGGGACTGGACACGGCACGGGCGTCCGTGGGTTCGGGTCTCGCGGCCGACATGAGCGCCAGCAAGTCTTGCATCACCATGACGTCAGAGCTGTGACGTCAGCACGCGGGGGCGGGGAGGGTGGGCGAGAGTGGGGCGAGGGAGCAGGGCCAGTGACGTCATAGACACACACGCTGATCACAGGAGAGAACGATAGAAGTCTGGGGAAGAAATATATACACCATACTGAAACAACATACACACCTGAAGCAACACACACACACACA